TGAATATTTCTTTTGTATTTTTATCTGTAAAGGCCATCTAAAAACAAATATTTTTATAAAAAAAAGCTTTAATTTGGACCATTATTAAGAAAGTTATGATCAAAAAACCAAAAAAAGAGCGTTTTTTTGAAAATTTTATATCTTTTGAACAAGTAATCAAAAAAATCTGAAAATTTACCAGAAAGGCTTTTTTGAGGGGTACTAAAAAATATAAAAAAATTAAGGAAATCGAAAATTTAAATTTTTCGAACCGTCCGATTTGGCGTGGAACGCCCCATATATATATATATTAGACCAGAAAAACTATAGTAGATATAAAATATATAAATTCATTACACGTAAATAAGTACATAGTAGACATAAAATATATAAATACATATGCACACACATACACTTATATAAATACATATAGATAGATACAAGAATCAATAAAATAGTAAGAACAAAATTAAAGTATTAAAACTATAAATTAACAGTAAAGAGTCCGCTTTTTAATTTCATTAATAGTGCAAAAATATATATCTAACCTGTCCTCAACATTGCAATAGTTGACAATTATCTGATATAAAGGAGAGGCTTTCATAACGTTAGTTCTTTCAGTGGGTAATTTAAATATATTATTTTCACAAGAAGCAAGCCTAGGAACTTTGATCTGAATTTTGTTCAGTAACCAGATTAGGTTTAGTATTTTATGTAAAAAGACAATTCGATGTGTTCGTGTTTTTAACTCATTACAATAAAAGCCATCAAGTAGGGCATTATGTGGATATCCTCTTTCGAGATATATTCCGTCAAGCTCAAATGCGATAAATTTAAAAAATTTTCTTTAAACTTTTTTCTAAGATTCAATGTGTGCACTATAAAAAGGACTCCAGATAATTGATGAATATTCCAATTTTGACCTAACAAACAATCCATGAAGTAATTTCATAGTATGTATGCTGCGCAATCCTTGAGAAGAACGTATAATAATACCTAAAGGTTTATAAGCAGATGATGCAGCTATCTCAATGTGTTTTATAAAATTTAATTTAGCATCGAAAACAACAAAAATCTTTTATGTAATGAGGCCTTTGCAACATAGAACTAACAAGGTTATAATTATATTTGATGTAGTTAATTTTACGTGTAAGAGACATTACATTTATCTGCATTTAGAGGTAATTTATTTTGGTTACACCAAACAGCAATCATATTTATTGCTTTTTGAAGTAGAGCACAATCAGATTCAGATGTAATTTCTATGAATAATTTCAGATCATCAGCATACAACAAACCATGTATCCAGTTAACATTCGCAATTATATCATTAATAAACATTACGAACAATAACGGGCCCAAAATAGATCATTGTGGTACACCCGACCTCTGCTGAAACTTTTCAATATTTATACCCTTGGAATTGAACACATTGGTATCTATTCTGCAGATATGATTTCAACAAGTCAATCATTATGGTATGCTGAGATCAAACTTTGTTTATTTATCCAATAAAATTCCGTGGTCGAGGCTGTCGAACGCCTTAGAGAAGTCAGTATACACAACATCCACTTGACTCTGTCGGTCAAGCGTTTCAGCTATGTATTGACATTTTGTGACTAAGTTGTAACCGTTGATCTGTTCTTCATAAAGCCATGTTGTTCAATAGATATTGTATTTGACACCCGACTGTAAATGAAGCTATGAAGAATAATTTCTAAAACCTTGACAAAATTACAGATAATACTAATAGGCTTATAATTGGTCAATTCAAGTTTTTCACCTTTTTATAAATGGGTCATATTCTGGACAGTTTCCAAAGTTCGGGAAAATAACAGGAATGAAAGATTAAGTTAAAAATAAACGCAAGTAGTTCCGCGAGAGCAGTAGCACAATCTTTAACCAAAAATGAAGGAACTAAGTCTGGACCCATAGTCATAGTAGGTTTAATTCTTTTGTTGGCATTAATAACATCAGTTTGACTAATAGAAATATTTGATGATGCTGATGGAGAATTAAAGATATAATAATTATTTATCATGTTTGGTACCGTAAATGATTTGGAAAAATAGTCCGCAAAACTATTAGCTATCAATTGGGGATCGTCGATTAAGTCATCATTATATAAACAATGACAATTATTTTAATCATGTACAAAAAATATTTTCGTATAATTCCGCATAAAAAGATACATTACATTCTACAGTTTATCTACAGTTTATATACCTCTGGTCTTATAGTAGAAAGTAGTATATACAGTGCATCCCGAATGAAATGTATACATTCAATAAAACTTACAGAATTTATTTTTCACAAAACCACAGAGGTATGTCGAAAGATTTTAATTAAATGCCATGTTTTGGATATGATTTTCGGGTCTTTTCTGACATTGTTGAAGAAGTTGTGTCATTCAGTGACAATTTTTTTTCAATGACAATTCCAATTTTTCTTTTCAGATTCTAAAAGTATAAAACACTAAAAAAATGATTGGGTTGCGTAAGAAATTTATTGAGAATAATAAACAAATAACTTCAAATTCAAACAATTAACATCCTTTAAATGTTCAAAATGTGCTCCATTCTCTACTTGACAATATGCAAGGCGATCGATAAACTCTATTTGCACGTTTTGAAATTTTTTTCATAAATTAAATTTTTTGTGTAATTTTTTTTCTGTTTGTCTGTTTGTTCTTTTAATTCTTATCCTTTCGTCCGTAGCCTTTACACCTTTAAACTGTTGAAAATGGTTTTTAAAAATGGCAAACCTAACTGAACGAGAAAAAATTGAAATCCATCCTAATTGTCCTCCCATTTCTCAAACGGTAGTCAGTAGAATTGAAATAATATTTAGAGAATTTGGTCATGTTAGAGACTTGCCTAAGTCTGGTCTGCTATAGAAGAAAATGACCAATTAGAAGTTTTTCTTTCCGTGGAAGAAAATCCTCATATTTTCTTGTCACACAATCACACATTGCTCCTAATTTACACTTGTCGAAATCTTCTGGTCATCGAATACTTCAAAGGCAGAAATATCATCCATAGAAGGTTATTCAAATACAAGAGTTATCTGAAGACGATTTCGATAGACGAAACACATGCAAAATTTGTGTAATCGAAATATTAATTTAGTAAAGAACATTATTTTTTCCGATGAAGCTACATTTTCTCTGGCATTGGTAATAGACAAAATTGTCGGTACAAGGCAACAGAGGAGCCGCACTGGATGATGGAGGCTCATAGTCAGCACCTTGAAAAATTAAATGCGTGGTGTGGAATAGTAAAAGAAAGAGTAATATGTTCATATTTTTTTGAGCAGTCTTTAACTGGACAGAGATATCTTGAATTTCTTCAATTTAAATTGATTCTCGCATTGGTGATTTTATTTCCCAATCCGTTGGAACCAGACTCTCTTGACGAAGATCTTGTTTTCCAACAAGATGGTGCTCCCCTGCATTATGTTGCCCCTGTGCGTACATTTTTAAATGAAACGTTTTCCAATCGATGGATAGGAAGAAAAGGACTCATCGAATAGCCTGCACGGTCGCCAGATCTAACCCCATTAGATTAATTTTTGTGCGGTTACTTAAATTCAAAAGTGTATGCTGAGAGAACAGATAATTTGGAAACGTTAAAAGAGAAGATCCGAAGTGAAGTGCGTGCTATAACCCTTAAAATGGTTGAAAACCAGAAAATAGAGTTTATCGATCGCCTTGGATATTGTCAATCAGAGAATGGAGCACAGTTTGAACATTTAATTTAAAGGATGTTAATTGTTTGAATATAAAGTTATTTATTTATCGTTCTCAATAAATTTCTTATGTAATCCAATCATTTTTTAGTGTCTTATACTCAAAAAATTATCCTCTTTCAGAATTTGAGGAAAAAAGTTGGGGTTGCCTTTTAAAAAAATTGTTACTGATGTCACAACTTCTTCAATAATGTCAGAAAAGACCCGAAAACCATCAAAACATGGCATTTAATTAAAATCTCTCGAAGTGTCTCGGTGATTTTGTAAAAAATAAATACTTACCTTAAATTTTATTGAATTTATACATTACATTCGGGACGCACTGTATTTAGAAAATATTTACTAAAACATATTTTAGTACAACTTTGTGTTTTTAATTAAGATTCTTTACAAAATTTTTAGAACAATATCTAGATAGATCTTGGTTTTTACACCTTTATTAAATTATATCAGTTAGCTTTACTTCTGCCACATATGTAGACTGGCATTCATCCTGGTTATGAATAATTATACAAAACAAATTATAATTTTTGAAAATTTTGAAAAACTGATATAAGGAACGCCTCGAATAAAATAACTGTAAAAAGATTAATTGCCAAAGAACCCCGCACAAAACATATGGAAATTGAACACCGGTCAATTTTTACGAAACTTCGTATTTTGATAGTCTTCATCATGCTGATCAAAAGTTTCAATGGGCACGAAGCCCTGAATCCCTTCCAACCCCCCAAAACCACCCCCAAAGATCAGGGTAATGAACTTCACAGATTACCTACTGGTCAATTGGGTTATCGTGATATTTCACTACTGTAGTCGAACCTACAGACACCTATACTATAACTAGGCTTAAGACTATCAATGGGCACCGAGCCCTACAACTCCCACCAACCCCCCAAAACCACACCCAAAAGTCAGGTGAATGCACTTGACAGATTATTTATCGGTCAATAAAACTACCGAAATATTTTACTACTGCAGTCGAACCTACAGCTACCTGAACTGTAACTAGGCTTAATACTACTATCTCCAAAACACTTAACCCCCCATCCCCCTCCCTCTCCACCAACTATCAAAGCCTGTTATGTGACTTTTCCCTGCGTACTGGTTGTGTAACTGTTTAATCGTGAATTCCATCTCACAGCCACCTGAACGATCACTAGGTACTCTATACTCTCTGACGCCGACCCCCGACAATTGGACCACCCACCCCCAACCCAAATCATACGGTTGGGGTCGGACCAACCCCAGTTCTTATCGAAGCCTGATATGATTTTTGCCTGCTTATGGCTTATGAAACCGTTCAATCTTGAATTCCATCCTACACCCATCTTATTGTTTAATACCTTTTAACCCACAAAAAGTACCCAAACCTGCCATAAGATTTTTTGCTGTTTGTGGGATGTGAAACTCTGGCTGTAGGCTCGACTGCAGTAGTAAAATATTTCGGTAGTTTTATTGACCAATAATCTATCAAGTTCTGTGGGGTTGGTGGGGGTCGTAGGGCTCGGTGCCCACTAATAGCCTTAAGCCTAGTTATGGTATAGGTGTCTTTAGGTTCGACTACAGTTGTGAAATATTACGGTAAGCCAATTGACCTGTAATCTGTCAAGTTCATTACCCTGGTCTTTGGGGGTGTTTTTGGGGGTGTTGAAAGAGGTTGTAGGGCTTCGTGTCCATTGAGACTTTTGATCACTATATCCCAAAAAATGACAGTGTGGTGTGGATTTTACGCTGGTGTGGTGATTGGTTGGATATGGTTTGAAAATGAGGCCGTGACTGGTAATGTAGAGTGATATCGAGATATTCTATTGAAATAACGAGAAAGTTTTATACAAAACAGATTTAAAATGGATATTTTACTTGCCTAATAGTATAATGGGTTTATTTCTGTACGAGTAAAGATCTGGCATCCATTTTGAAGTTACATTTTCATAGGATACTTTATCAGCTACACAGAAGCACAGGAGGAAAATATCTGCCTAAAACCAAAACAAAATAAGATCAGTATGCAATTATAGTAGGTAAAAACGGAAACACACCTTTTCATAAACTCTTTTCCTGATATTATCATATTCCTCTTGACCGGCTGTATCTATAATTTTAAATAAAATCCTTCTATTGCCAACAACTTTTTCTAGAGTCATCTCGTTGTACCTAAAATGTATTTCATTTGAATCACCAGTAACAATGCCACTACACTACCTACACATTTGGCGCAGAATTTTTGGAATAGGTTGATTTTTGTAAACAATTTAACACACATGTTTTGCCTACGTATCCGTCTCCTATTAACGCTATGGTGAAGTCGTCTGTTGTCGTTTCCATTATGTAGTCGTCACCTGAAACCAGAGATAACATAATCGAATTAATAAATAAAATCGATATAATGGATACAAACAATATTTACTAATCATTGCATTTTTATGAATACTATAATAAATATTTTGTAATTGCGTGGAATTAATATTAGTACTATAACAACTACTACTGTTCTTTAGTCAGTATCCATATTTATGAATACAGTGTATTTGTAATCGTTATTCTATGAATTGGTGAATATAAGAATTATTAATTAATGTTCAAATCCAGTATTGGTTGCTGGATTACAAGTATTACATACATTCGTGGTTACTCAATATTTAAAATATTACTTAATACTGAATTCTTCATTGACACTTTTTCAAACTTCATTAACATCTTGGTTAACTGTTTGTATTCACTTTTAGTATTCAACTATTTGAAGCATTTGTATTAGAAGAAAATTACTTTGAGAAATGTCATTGAACCAAAAGTAACTTCCAATGTCCTTTCTGCGATGTATAAGCTCGTATTGGACTTTCTTTCTCGACATTTTTGTTATTGAAATATTTAATTCCACAGATTGAGAAACCGATTTGTATCACTTTTTGCAACAACCATGCTAGTTTCAGGATCCCCAAAATGCTTTTTTACGAAACATGTGCTATGGGAGCTAGGTAGGCGTTGAGAAGCAACAATTAATTGAAATATTATTAAATATTACTTGGTAAGGTTTGTAGTAAGTTAAGACTAAACGTTAAATCAAACTGTAGGAAATTTAATCTCATAACTTTAATCTTTAATTAAAATATTTTTACATTTCGCTTCAGTGTTACAGCTCTTATTTCCTATTCTTGTAGAATTCGTTAGCACACTTAAATTTTTTTGAGGTGATTCATTTTTCGTATAAAATCAAAGAAATCCCTTTCTTTTAAATAAATAGAATGTGAGTGAATGCACTAATTTTGATTATTTACTCAGTGGCGACACATTTCTGGCAGTATCGTTCAACACTTCTGCTTTAGACTGATACAATATATATGCATATGAGTAAATAAATAGTTACTCATATGAATATATGTCATTTCAATGATTTTTTGGTTTGGTTAAATCACTAGCCCAATTTTTATCAATGAATGTATGTGTTTTTTCTTAAAAACCCCAAATCTCAATTAAGACCCCCCAAATGACACATTCAAGTAAATAAAACATTTATGCTTTTGTCTTCAAATGTCCGCTAAGAAAGTACATACTGAATGTTAATTACAGTATGTATATATAAAATGTTTTTCACAGTAAATGGTCTTAACCGTCTAAGTATTCAGAGAAAGCCAATATTAAGTATGTATACTTATAATGTTATAGCAAAAGTTTTAATACTCTAATTTAGCGCAGCTTTTTAAATCTATTTGTAAACTAATCCGTCTTTTAAGTTTACAGATATGTAGACTTAAAACAAGGTCTCATAAATGTTATATACATTAGGAAGAGATTGAGATTTATGTAACAGATAAGTAGCAGATACTCGGAAAGACTGGTCCTTAATGTAATAAAATCTATTATATACCTACTAAAAGGCACTTTAGTCTTACTTATTTTTTACAGACATAATCTTATATTACATGTATTTTTGTAATTGATATGTTTTATGTGTTCTATAAATAATGAATTAATTTCTTCCATAAATCGTTTTAGATGATCTTAGTTGTCCAAGACGTGATTTGGCTTAATAAACATAACTTGCTTTAATTGCATATTTTTCGAAAATGTTTAACATTCAGCATAGTAACTGAGTGAGATTTATGTACAAAATCCTGATAATACGGGGGTAAATAAAATATAAACGGGATTTTATTTGAAAAAAAAAAATAGTTTCCTGCGTTAGGAGCCAAATGCGCACCAATCCTTTTACACCCTCGTCATCCTAGAGCTTTTTTTAACAGCTCAAACAAATGAAAATTGCAGGACTGTAGGGAGGATGATCAAGTTGAGTCCAGTGCATTTCTTCTAGTGTTGAGATCGTTAGAGCTGCTGTGTGGTGTTTCGCGTTGTCGTTAATCTGTTGATCTCGTCTTTTGCGGCAATATAAAGCCCTCACCTCGTCCAAGAGCTGGCAGTAGGTAAGTAGCATTGATTGTGCGTCACTCATGCAAAATATCAAGAGCAAAATGCCTCGCTTAAAGTTAACCGGATACTTTAACCATGAAAGTATACAGCGTGTCCCACAAGTGCAGGAAAGTCCAATATAGGTATATGTTAAAATGATGAATATATGGATTTTTCTTTTTACTGCGTTGCCACATTTCTCGGAATGTACAAATTAAAAATATATTCAACTATACAGGGTGTTCCACTTTTCCTGGACAGACACCAACTTTGGTTTTTTAAATGGAAACACACATTTTTTATATTTTTTTTTTCGGATTCTACATCAAAAATAAAGGGTACTTTGTGTAGAATAGTTCTATTCAAATATTCACAGTTTTTGAGATATCTCGCTTGAAAGGTTTTTCTAGTCGATATTGGCTGCTTACATTTTCTGATACTGACAGGTTATACTAATAGCTACTAAGCCCATTTTTTTATCAGATGTTTAGTAAGGATGACTCTTCCGAATCATGTTCAAAAACTGGCCTGCGTTATACAGGGTGACCAAAATGTCATGTCAAAATTGCCAATTGAAAAATTGAAAAATCTCGATTTTTTTAAATGTAACGCTCTGTATATTTTCATACCATGAGATGCAGAATTAAATTCTCTACAATTTTGTTATACCTGCTCCTATACCAAAATTCATTAGTTTTTCATAAAATCTCATTTCTATGAAAAAATGCGAAGTTTACAAATAGCTTATATGTAAAATAACGTAGTAGGCTCCTGTCAAAGGTTAATCTGGATAATTTTCGATTCACATAAGGTTTAATAGAAGAAGAGAAGCCCATGGTAACTGTATATTGGCAAGTTGCATTTACCAAGTTAATAATCCAGATTTACAAAGATATCCTCGTACAAAGTGTTTTGTAAAACTGAAGGAGAGGTTTGAAAGAACGGCAAATGCAAATTATGAGAAGACAACAAGAACACACTCATGTGATAATAAGGATAGTCAAATTGACATTTTGGAATGTGCAGTCCAAAATCCATCTACAAGTGTCAGAGAAATTAGTGATGAAATTAGTATTTCCAAAAGTGTAGTTAATAGAACGTTAAAGAAAAACAACTTCCACCCCTATCATTCTGAGCATCACCAATTCTTAACACAGCAAGATTTTCAGACGCGAGTACAGTTTTGTGAGTAGGCAACTATAAAGCTACAACAAGATGAAATTTTTTTTCAAAGGTGTTGTAATCCTGTTCGAGAGAGTCGACATAATTATCACCATTATGCCTATCATAATCCCAGATTAATAAGATAAGACGATCATCAACACCGCTTTAAAGTCAACGTTTGGGCGGGAATATGCGGAGAATATGTCATTGGACCACATTTTCTTGGAGAAAACTTAACTGGTTATGGGTATTTGCAATTTTTACAAAACGATTTGCTCCAATTGCAGGGACATATTCCTCCGGATGACTTAAACAGTCAGTGGTTCCAACATGATGGTGCCTCTGTACACTCCACACTGGCGGTAAGTTTTCTCATTATGTAAGTTATGTAAATTCATAGAAAAACTGTTTCAGGTTAGAAAATACTTAAATGATTTGTATCCAGATAAGTGGATAGGTAGCCAATTCCATGGCCTCCCCAATCCCCAGACCTGTCTTGTCTTGATTATTTTTATGGGGCTATATAAAAGACAGGGTGTATGAAACTCCTCCGACAAATGTAGAAGATTTACGGGCAAAGATAAATGCTTTTTTGACCCTAACTTCGGATATGCTGCGAAATGTGTCAAACAATTTTCGTCGTAAAATTGCTCAATGTCTATAGAAAAATGGCAGACATTTTGAGCGGTTACCTGTTAATTACTAATTTAACTAGGTCTTTATTACATTTGTTAGAAATGCACGATGTTAATTTACTGTTTTGGAGACTGCATGCGTGTGTTCTTGTTGTCTTCTCATAATTTGTATTTGTTGTTCTTTCAAACCTCTCCTTCAGTTTTACAAAACACTTTGTACGAGGATATCTTTGTAAATCTGGATTATTAGTTTGGTAAATACGACTTGCCAATAAACAGTTACCATGAGTTTTACTAATTATTCTATTATTTATTTACTAATTCTTCTTTAGAGTAATTCATTTCACAATTATTACTGTCGCTTTTCTATTAAACCTTATGTGAATCGAAAATTTTCCAGATTAT